TATCTTTATATATGCTTTTTTCAGCACTCTCACCAGAACCTCATAGCAGCCAACGTCGGTCAGTTTCTCCGTACTACCACTTTTCCATCCGATGCGAAGGAAGATTTAATGAAGATCGTGAGCGCGTGACAGATTCGGAGAGGGCTCAGTCCGAGAGTGTCCCGGGTAGTGGACGCGATTATTCTCCTCTCCTTTTTCCTTTTCCCTTGCTCGGGGAGAGTCCAATCACCACTCTAACAACTCCACTGACTCTCTAGAAGAACCGACGGGCAGCATTCCCTACTTGTAAGGGTAGTGTCCAACAAGCAAGAGTCCAAGATGGTATTTACTGGCAGATATTGGTAGCCGCCTCCTCTATGAGGTCGCTCGATTGGCTCGTTACCATCTGCAGGCCAGACAATGAACAGGCGATGAAGGACTGGAAGCCCCTCTTCTATGACAGTGATGATAAGACGATTGACTCCGTCCCGCTCCCATTCAGACTTGTTCACCACTCATGGCTCAGATGAGTCACTAAACGCGCCTTAATGATGACGAGAGTGATCAGCAAGCTGTTCTATGGACTCCTGGTCACTACAGTAGCGTCAGCACTAGGACGAGTTAAGTCATGTTTCTTGCTCGCAATTACCTAACGGCTCTGAGCTCCCCTACCTCAGTCGTTCCCATAGCCAGTCAAATGACCCTCATCCCAGTTCTCCTTTTCGCAGTAGACGTCAGTACCTAATCACACAACCTCTCCCAGTAACTCAGCAAACGAGATGCTATCAAACGCCAGAGTACATGCCAACCAATGTAGGCACAAAGGGTGGTGCCAAGAAGCAAGCCACTAGAGCGCTAGCGTCCAAGCAAAAGGGATGACTGCTTAATCAGACGCACGTACGTTTCCAAGTTGGCCATGCACGAACTGATAGATCGTGTTCCCAACACAGTAGCATACACGTTCCGTTTCTTCCAGCACTCTATGTTCGTCTCGCCCTTAGTCACCCTCGATATCTGACTTTTTTTTTTCTTTCAAACACCACCGTAGACAGCAGTTCACGAGAGCTCGCACGCTAGAGGGGTTAACGGGAGCTGAGCATGGACGGGGCTGATGACTTCAGCTATCTCGCCTGCGGTCTGAACGTGCTCAAAGCAAGTAGCATCCACCGAGATCCGTAGTCCTCATCCCTCTCTTTCACGTGACCGACTGGCGTGCTGTCATGCTGATCAAGCACGGAGTGCACAACATACTGATCCCAAATATTTCCTTGTCCGCTCATTCAAGAACGCAGTTTCTAGGCGCGAATCCGGAAGAACAAGTGAGCCCTTCCCCACTACAGCAGAGTAATCACGTGATGATGATGATTCCCTCGGGCGGATGACGGTCTCGCGAACTCATGCTCGAAGTTGTCGTCTCCGCGCTAGTGATGACATCCACGGAAGGCATGTTCATGGTCTGAGCATGCGGCATTCGCACCACCTTGCGTCACATGCACCAGTTCGCGACTAAACTCACTGCCCAGTGGTGAAGGATAGTGCTGCCTTCAAAGAGCAGCTACTCATTCCCCGTGGAAGGGAGAGGATCTCTCCGCTCCGGCCAGGCAAAGTTGACGTCAACTGCAGCTCTCCGTCTCATGCCCACCATTACACACACTTTGACCTTTTCTTTTCCTCCCTTTCCCCTCTCTCTCCGATGTCCCTGTCTGCTTTCTTTTCCCTGTTCTTGAGCGTGACCATCGCGCGCGCGTGACTGTCCCATAACCGCTTTGTGCCCTCAGCACTGTCGCCCCCGTCCTGAGTCAGCCTCCGGGCCGTTTTCCACAGGTTCTACAGACTGGTGATCTCGCCGCCACTGGTCCCACCCATGCCAGGACCGAGTCCGGACCTCCCGGTCACTCTCCTCGCTCTCCGCCTCAGTGTCGCGATCTAGGTGCCTCGGTTCTCGCTCTACCGTGTCCGTCGAAGTCTCTGCTTCCCGGTAAGAAACGGTCACCTTCAGTTCATCTGTGACCCCGTCTCTCCTGCACCTTCTCTCAGCCCGGTCCTTCGCCTCTGTGATGGCCAACTGCAATCCCTGGTCCGATCTCATCTCCTCTTCTTTCCCTCCCTCGACGCTGATTTCTAGCCTCACTTCCTGATTGCAGCGACTGTAGTCCAAGATCGCAGTCACGGCAGGCCCTTCTCCAGTCATTCGTTCCCCCACCTCCAGGTGAACTGGAGGTACTTCGGCCTGTAGCCGTACAGTCCATTGCTCCGCACCATGGTTATGGTCTCACGACCAGCAGGGCCCCGGTACTCAGTGCTCGCGTACTCAGCCGGGCCCTTCCTCCTCGTGAACACCTAGCCACTTCTCGCTTCTAGCTGTCCGCTGGTCGTTGACACGGCGAAAGCCCTGAATGCTTCCCACTGACTGGTAACCGAGGACTCGTTTGCCTCGTCCTTTATAGGCCTGTCTCTCGTCGCGACCCCAACGTTCTAATTGAAGAATTCAAATGACTACTAAAATAAATAAATCAATTAGTTTATAAAGAAAATTAGAGAAACCGAAGCTCAATGGCCATAGCACGAGCCAGACACACCGGGCTACTGTCAATCACTAACCCAAGTGATGTGACTAGGCCTAAAACGGTGGTCCCATAACGGGATACCAACCGGCAGTTTTTTCTACTAGAAGGAATTGTCGGATTACAGCTAGCGGGTACCCGTGTCCGATGTCAAGGAGGGGGCTTATGACTCTCCACGGGGGGGTGATAAGCCTCCTACCAAAGCGGCCGCGGGTGGCCCCTCTTTTGGGATCGCTGCGCGACGCTTATTCGGATTCCTCAGCCACTGAGTGCTAATTGAAGGGTCGGGCCAGTCTAGGCCACAGACCACAGCCATGCTCGAGATTCGAACCGTTGGCCTTCCCGGGCCACCCGCGGCCGCTTTGACAGAAGGAAAATTTAAATAAGAAAATTTGAAATAATAATAATAATAATAATAATAATAATAATAATAATAATAATAACAACAACAAAATAAGGAAAGAAGAGAAATCATAACGTCGACGCGGTCAGAGGTTACTAGATCGTCCCAGACTAAAGCGAGGGTCCAGATCTGTGCGCAGGTCCGACACTCAATTTCCTTTTTTCCTCTCGTCCCCCTTTTTCTTTTTCTTTCTTTCTTTCTTTACACCCTTTTCTGTTCGACTGTAACAGCGAGTCCATGTACCTAACCCATAACCTGGTTAGGGGGCACTCGGCGCGCAATAGAAAAGGCCGCGCCGGTCCTCCTGATTTCGTGTCCCTGGGCGAGCCCGGCGGCTACCACGGCTACAGGCCGGTAGTGCTCTGCTGTACAGCAGGGCGCCGAGCCTGCGTGGACCAATGGAAAGTCCAGTGGCGCACCCTTTTGCTGAGGCAGGCACCAGCTGGACTGGTCCATAGCCGGGTATAGCCTGACATACTAAGTGGACCGTGGAGGTTCGGGGACTACCCTACTAACCGAGGGCGTCAGAGCGATGAGCTGACACTGAGCAGGAGCCTGGCACACAGAGGAGGGCCGGGGCACCGCGCCCTCCGACAGCGTGCGTGGATGCGAAAGGAAGGATGGCGCTGCTGAGGGCAGCGCCATAGCCAGCCCATCCATAGCCGGGCTCGGCTTGGACGGCCAGTGGAGGTGGTGGTGGTCTTCGTGTATGAGGAAGACATGGATGAAGAAGAAGACGAGGGTGAGCAGTGAGAGAGAGATGAGGATGATGGTGTGAGGGCACATATCTGGTCTTGGCGGAGGTCTGGATGATCGACATCTGCATGTACTTCGGTGATTGCTGCTGACGGCAACTGGTTGCATTGTCAATTCGTAGGCTGGATAGGTGGTTGTGAGATCGTAGTCTTGGTGCTGAGCGCCAAGTGGGGGGAAGGGCCCTGGATACATACGTTGGTGGTGGCGAGAGTGCGCTTTCATTGACATTTGAGTTCGGTGCTTTGGTTCTCTGTTGGTGGAATATGAGTGCATTTCTGTGTTCTGGACAGCGCTGGACTTTCTGAATTTCAATGTGATTTGCAATCTGTAATTCTGCCATTTGCCCTTTTGCTCATTTTCCTTGCAACCATTCCACCATATGGCTTAGGTACTAACAGAGAAAACCCTTCCTTTTTTTTTTTGGATTTTCCAATTTGGGCTATTTCTCTATTTATGTGTGTCAACCTTGAAAGAGCAGGGGCCATGTTAATTACCCTTCTGGGCCTTCTCTCCATTTGAACCGTTTTAAGTTTTTTAACGGATGTCCCGAAGGACACCAACAGTCCTTTTTTTTTGCGCCTTTTTTCAAAAAAAAAATCAACAGACAATCCTAGATTAATAGCAGATCAGATTCCACGATACAACAGTTCTGTTTCCAAATATAGATTACAAACATTACATTGGCAAAAAAAAAAAAAAAAAAAAAAAAAAGGACATTAGTAATTTAGTAGGAAATTACTAGGAAGAAAAGCAGATACATCTCTCAATTCCTGTTTCAGTAGCAGCCAAAGCAGTCAGACGAACCAACTGGCCTGGCTCTTTTTTGTTTTTTTCCCCCTCTGAGCTGGCCTTCCTCAGTTTGTACACTCAATGAAGTGTTGAGATTCCGACCAAGTTCGAATCCACATGCAAGCAGATGATCCAAATCAAATGATATTGAATTACCTGGCCTGGTCAGCTCGAAGATGATATTTCAAGGCTGGCGCCCTTCAAACCACTAGCACCTTTGGCGTCTGGTTTTGACAAGTTTTAGCCTTGTCCTGAACTTTTAGGAGGCCAGGCCCGACAACGGCTGCCGTTGATAAATCTGATCGGCGGCCGTCGTTTCGTTTCGGCCTCCTGAAGAGGCCCACTATTTCCCGAACCGACAAAGGGACTAGTGCTTAAAAAAAAAAAAAAAAAAAAAAAAAAAGGCAGTCAGACTAAACTTCACAAGCTTGCTCTGACACTTGGCGGCACTGTCCTGTGTTAAATCTGGTGGAACCTGGATTGGCATTTTAATAGCAGCATAATGGATGTTATTCAAAAACTGCTTTGAGCGGTGACTTCTTCAAAGGCAAGTGTCTGACGCAGCAGCAGCAACAGCAACAGCATAGTCGGACGCTATTACCGGGCACTCCATCAGGCGGGTCATCACGATGGTGGACCATGAAAAGACAGATGCCAGGGGGTTCTGGTTGTTCACCCTTTCCTTACGGACATTCGTGGCGGCTGATGGTAGAGGCAAGGAAACGATCGGGCTTTGCGGAGCTCCTGTTCAGCAAACAGAAGGAGGCGGAAGAGGAGAAGAAGAAGAAGAAGCGCCTTCAGCAAGGCCAAGTCTCTCGGAAGCTTCATGTTCCAAAGCACATCGAGCGCCCTCCCTATGCCGAGTCGGGCGTCAGTCCGCCGTGGGATGACTCTTTCCAAATTCATGATGAAGCGGCTGTCCAACGGATGAGAGCATCCGGCAAGCTGGCCGCGGAGGTGAGGGATTACGCGGGGACCCTTGTCAAGCCCGGCATTACGACGGATGAGATCGACAAAGCCGTCCATAAGATGATCATTGACGCAGGTGCATATCCATCTCCTTTGAATTACGGCAAGTTCCCGAAAAGCGTATGCACGTCGGTTAACGAATGCATCTGTCACGGTATTCCGGACTCGCGTCCACTCGAAGACGGCGACATTATAAACATTGACGTCACTGTGTACCTTAACGGATACCACGGCGATACTTCGCGGACCTTCTTAGTCGGAAATGTCACGCCAGAGGTCCAGCAACTTGTCAGAGTCACGAAGGAAGCCCTCGACAAGGCGATCGCGATCTGCAGCCCAGGTGTGGAGTTCAAGAAGATTGGCAAAACCATTCACGATTATGCGGATCGATACAAGTATGGCGTTGTCAGGCATTTTGTGGGGCATGGAATTGGGAGGATGTTCCATTCGGGTCCGGCTATCATGCATCATCGCAATAACGGACCTGGGGTAATGCTTCCTGGTATGACATTTACGATTGAGCCCATGCTAACAATTGGTAGCATCGAAGAAGTGATGTGGGACGACAATTGGACAGTGGTGACGGCAGATGGCAGCTTCTCAGCACAGTTTGAGCACACACTCCTGATTACAGAAACAGGCGTAGAGATCCTGACAGCTCCCTAAGAGGAAGCCACCACCAGCTGATTCTGTGTGTGTGTGTGTGTGTGTGTGTGTGTGTGTGTGTGTGTGTGTGTGTGATGTTTTAAGTATATTACAAACCCCAGCTGTCAACTTCACACCAAGACATGGTTTTTCCCAGGGACTAGACTCAACATGACCTCCCTAAGATGCGTTCCAAGTTCCAACACTTCGCAGTCAAGCGCACTTACAAGCAAAAGACGACGAGTGTCCACAACACAGATACTAAAGATACAACGGCTGGAGGGCACGGGGGAGGCGGGAGGGCAGACCATACACAGGCACACCAAACAGGGGCAAGGCAACAACCAACAAGCAAGAAAAAAATACAAGTCCCAAACAACAAACCACCGGGGAAAAAAAAAACAAAAAAAAAACACCATGATGATAGATTGTTTCGTCGGAGTTGCACCGACTCATCAGGAGGCTGAACCCTTGACAATCTGCGGAATCTCCGTATTTGATGGTTTGGGTCATGAACCCTTTGACGCTTGTTGAAGGCAGACTGTCCCCAAAAGGAACATAGCAGCGGGCAGCAACCCTGTGGACCACCAGGCAACACGGTAGAGGCAACACGGCAGCACAACGCCAAAAACAACTGCAAGGAACGAGATGGCACGCAGGACATGCAGCGCGGCAACCGTGTAGTGAAGCACAAGGCAACACAAGCAAGGCAACAGCGCTGCAAGGGACGACAGGGCGAGCGGACCAGCAACTCGACAACTGTGGAGCGAAGCACAAGGCACCCGCAACAAGGCAACCATCCAACAAGGCCCGCAAGCAGCAAACATGGAAGGCACGGGCAGCGGAAGGGCAGCAAGGCAGCGGAGCAGCGAATCGCAAGGAAAAACCAACAACAAGGCCACACCACAGAGCGAACACATCAACCTGCAAAGAACCACATGCGAAGCAAGCGGGACAGGCAGCAGGGCAGCGGCGGAGCGCAGACGAGGCCGTCCACACCTCCAACACGGAGCAAAGCGGCACATAATCTACTGACATCATGATTGTCCCACCACCCACTGAGCCAGGGAGACACTCCGACGAGCATCCGTCATCACCCACAGGCAACACAGACACCCCGAACTGACCGGCCTCCCTAACAGTGCAGTAGGCACTCCAGACGTGGAACCACCGACTGTTTGGCACTACTTAAGGGTGCTCAGTTGGGTAAGCATAAATACTTAGAAAAATATCAGAGGGAGGACAGACAAAAAATATCAGAGGGAGGACAGACAACAAGAGGAAAACAGACAAACATAAAACTGATTGTGTGTGTGTGTGTGTGTGTGTGTGTGTGTGTGTGTGTGAGAGAGAGAGAGAGAGAGAGAGAGAGAGAGAGAGAGAGAGAGAGAGAGAGAGAGAGAGAGAGAGAGAGAGAGAGAGAGGGAGAGCGGGGGAGAGAGAGAGAGAGAGAGAGAGAGAGAGAGAGAGAGAGAGAGAGAGAGAGAGAGAGAGAGAGAGAGAGAGAGAGAGAGAGAGAGAGAGAGATTCCACTGTAGCTCTTCCATTGTGATATTTATCTTACTTGAAGAGTATGCTCCTGCACATCTTTTTTTGTTTTTTTGAAGTTTTTCCCTTTGGTTTATTCGAATTTCTGTAGTGTATCAGCCCAGGCAAGTTGTATAACAGTCATTGTAGCAGTTTCATTTTCAGGCATTGCAAGCAACTTCATTTTTGCAAACCCTTTCGAACCCCATTGTATAATTTGTTAAACATTTCCAATTTCCAGTGCACATGAGATTATGTTGATGAGCGCATGTGATTTCTTCAGGCAGCAATAAGCACTTGATTGGATGGCCGTTTGTTTTTTTTTTTTTCAGTTTTTGGTTTTTGTTTCTGGTGGGGAAAATGTCGGGGTTGAAAATGAGTCCACTCTGTGGGAAAAATGGTGGTGAAATTGGCGGTGTTCAGACATTTGCTCTGGAGTCTGGAGAGCAGACCAGGACATAAAATGAGTCCAGTCTGTGGATTTGATGGTGGGGTATCAGTTAAACTATAGTTCTCGCAGAGACTCCTTGTTCTATGTGCTGTGTGCTGTTCTCTGTACTTCTGTTCTCCGTACTTTTGTTCTCTGTACTCTTGCTCTGTGTACTTTCTTTTTTTTTTTTTTTTTTTTATTGAAAAGAAAGGCTCCTTCTATTCTGGGGAGCAACAGTCCGGTTCCTTTTCCCCCGGCAAGTCGATATGAAATACATAATAGACACACGCACGCTCCTCCCCATTATGGCTCAGAGGCCCGAGTGGACGGCATTGATTACTTCCTTGAGGAAGGATGTACCACCCTTCACCCCTGCCTAATTTATCCTGTTCTATGAACTTCTATCTCAGTTTGCCCAACCCTGTGCTCCCAGTTCTACTCCTCTCAGTTTTGAAACTGTCCGAACAGTTTTGAAACTGTTTTACCAGAGTGTTCTGGGATGCGTATGAATCCTATAAAAGGTTTTCCATTTTAACTCCTATTAGTGAAGGTTTTGTTCAAGTCCTAAGCTCTACTCCCTCGGTTCTAACTTCTAATGATTCTTTAGTTTACAAATTCCTGGTCAGGAGATAATACCTATGCTATTCCACAACCCTAAACCTCTTAACTTTCCTCCTCTCTATCTGCTCTCTGAAACCCTAAACCCTACTGTCCCCCTTTCTGTAAATCCTTTATGCTGAATTTATGGGTAGTGAAGTGTTTTGTGATTGTGTCGCTTCTAACAAGACGAAGTCTGTTGATCTGTCTCTTCCCTGCTGTTCCTCTCTCCTTTTCCATATCAAACGCGGGGGATCACCTTGTATTGTGCCGAGTTTACCCGTTCCACGCCTGTCCTTGATGAATTTGTCTATTATGAATTGCTTTTTTTTGTGGGTTCATCCTTGATATTCTTGTTTGCTCAGCGCCAATCTGCCTGATATTCCGTGTGTAGAAGCTGTAGAACCAACTCCCAGGCCTCCCGGGTCGATGTATTTTGGCGTGATATCGTTTGTTTGCATCAAGTCTTCCAAATGATCCACAGTGTAAAAGGACGAAGTCTTCTGAAGAGGGTTAAATGCCAGAGTTCTCTGAAACTTGGTTGTGCCACCCCCGTCAGTAGAGTCAGTAGGTTGTCCGATAGTGATGCTCCTACTAGCTCCACCCAGTACCGCCGCGTTCTGTTCCAACTTCTTTGTGCGTTAGGACAGTTTATCAGACAGTGTAGCATATCCTCAAGGGATCCATCTGCACAGACTGCGCAGCTATCATCAAAATCTCTTCTACCAGCTCCTGACCTTTTCCTGCTGAGCCATGCAGAGACACACATGGGGTTTCACTTCAAGTATAGTTATTGCCGCTCTGTGTACTTTTGTTCTGTGCACTTTTGTTCTGTGTACTGTTGTTCTTTGTACTTTTGCTGTGTGTACTTTTGCTCGGTGTGTTTTTTTTCTGTGCAGAGACACATGGGGTTTCACATCAAGTATAGTTCTCGCGGAGACACATCGTGTGCTATGTACTGTGTGTTCTTTTATTCTGTGTGCTGTGTGCTGTGTGCTGTGTGCTGTGTGCTGTGTGCTATGGGTTGTGGGCTGTGGGGTGCAGGATTGCTTTGCAAACTAAGAATTCGCATTCACGATCAGCACTTGCACAATGCAGGCCTGAATCGTAGTCGAAGTCACCGCATACGGTTACGAGCACTGTGCATGCACACGGGCGTAACGCGCTGTGTCATGCAGCGAGGGATGTGCGATGTGATGGGCAGGAACAGGAGTAGTGGTGTGGGTGGTGGGTGGAAGTCTTTGCGGAGGCAAAAGGGCGGTCGAAAGGGCAACAACTGTGTGCCACGGTTATGGGAGCATGAATCTGGACATCCTGGCATGTTGTTGGAGGATGTAAATATCAAGAATTGACCCCAAAAAAGTCCTTCGGGACATCCGTTAAAATTGGAACGATACAGAGAAGGGTAATTATCAAACGGCCCCTGCGCAAGGATGACACGCATAAATCGAGAAATGGTCCAAAAAAAAAAAAGAAAGAAAAAGAAAAAAGAATTGACCCCAAAAGAAAGTTAGCAATTGCGAGGACAACAACCAAACCACAAATCAAAGGCTGCAATCGTGTGAAAGGCAGCGAGAGATTGTACCGAACGCGGAAACAAGTCTCTGTTCTAATTCTTAGGCTACTGGATTATTCATTCTTCCCTCTCCTCTTCCTTCAGAACTTGGGCCAACTCCTAGCACCATTGTAATCACGTCTGGGAATCGAATCCTTTTTTTTTTCTTTTTTTTTTTTTGTTGAAAAAGCCTTGGCTGTTTACGAGAGAGGGTAATACGAGCATCCCCCGCTAGTAGTAGACTCCAGCACCTCCATCTATTGGTGAGGAGCTGCACCTGCTGGTATTCATGATTATCGCCTGCAAGGCTGCAACCACATTACCATCGTTGTCGTGATGAGAAATCGGAGAAATCACCACCAACATCGTCATCTTTAACATCATTGCCTCCCCAATTCTTATCCCTCGATTGCTGGTTATCATCATTATCACGTAACTACTGCATACTAAATGAAGACAAACGCAAACACAGGCACGTAACTACTACTTCTGCGTACTAAATGAAGATCAATGTAAGACATAACACCAGCACAGCACTAAAAGTGCCGCTGCGTCTGAGCCTAGGGAGAAAATCAGTGTGCCCGGGTCACCAAGTGGTGCCCAGATGCATATGCTTGCATGTCTGCCTGGGCATGAGCCCCCGGTAGGGTTCAGGGCAGCCCTAGGGCAAAAAACAAAAAAAATCAAAAAATTCTGCGGAAAACAAAATGCTGTGTAGAATTGCGATGCAAACAGTTTTTTGGCTGAGGGCCACCACACAATTTCTTATTGAATAGCAGACACAAAAGAAAATAATAAAAAGAAAAGGCACCACCCTCTGGGAGGGCCCCTATGCGCGAACAAAAAGCGAACCGGCGCGGCCTCATTTTGGCTGGGAAAAAAGAGCCTGGAATTGGGCTCCTCTCACCAAGCACAGAAGACCCCCACTGCCAAAGGAAAGAAACAGACTGCTTTACAATCCGGGACCCCCAGGTAGCAGCCGCCCTCTCGCCATGATGTCCTTCTGGGTGGGACAAAATTCCTGATTCTGAGCCAAAAAAAAAGGCAAAGTTGCAGCTTAGTTGCTGCACTAAAAACTTCGCACAAAAAAAAAAAAAAATTGCACACTGCTGCCGAGCCAAGTAGCAACTGGTAGGGCACCCCCCTCTAAGAACTCAGTATGCGATGCAGCTTTTATGGATTTCATCGCGGTTTTCTTCCGCCTCATGGGCAGAATATCCACCGGGCCCATTGGAAAGAGGCGCGGCTCAAGGTACTTGACCGCCTTAACGGCCACCCGTGTCCAGCGACGTAGCAACCAAGCTAGGACTGTTGGTCCCGTCCCTGGTCTCGGAACCGGTCGACGGGTCCTGGACCTCAGTAAAAGTTGAAGTAGGGAAAATAAATAAATAAAAAGTAAAAGTAAAGATATGGGAACACAAAAATTAAGGGGGTGAGGGGCCGCGCGTCCCGCTGGCCTGCAATGCCGCGCACACCCAAGCCCCGCCGGCCCCGCGTGGTTGCACCTTGCCGTAGGCTCACCGCGCGCCCCACTCGCCCAGGCAAGGACTCACCTCTCACCCGCAAGCGCGCCGTCAACTTCGGACGAGGCCGCACTGGCCTGAACTGCAGGAAACACGCCAAATACCCTTGTAAGCTATGTTGCACGTAGGCCGCGGCCTGGTTCGGCCACGGCCGAACGCGGCCGATAATTAAAAATTAAAAAAAAAAAAAAAAAAAAAAAACGGGTTTCGAGTGGGGCGGGGGTCCCCTACCTGTCTCTTATACACATCTAGATGTGTATAAGAGACAGCCTTAGCAGTGCTCACTCAGTCCCCACGCAGGGT